ATGTGGAATGAAGTGGGCGGGCATCGGGAGGCCACTATGGCACGGGGCAAGCACTATGGGAAGTCTATCTGAAGTGTACCTGGCGTATAAGACGACCCCCCACTTGGAGGCATATTTTTCAGGGCCAAAAAATCGTCTTATATGCCGGCAAATACGGTATAATAATATGCACAATGAATACTAAATAAATATTAATGTCATAAATCCATATAAGGAAACAGAATAAAAACAACAAAGCAATAAATACAAATTGTGAAAATATTAAAAGCAAGAGATCTCAAAGCCTGTGTCAATATACAATAATTCAAAGATATATAGTAGAGTGAAAAAATGAGGTGAAAGGCTTTATTGTTAACTACAATGAACAGACCACACTCTCTCTGCTCTTCTCTGTGCACAATAATTTAGGAGGAATACTAAAAACACTGAATATGTCTAAAAGAGAGCAACTGAGAAACAATTCAAGAACTGAGATGCTCAGACTAGAACAGAGAGGGTTTGCCCTCCTGCTCTCATCCTCCACCTTCATCAACGAAAAGAAGGCATCCTATGGAAAATGATTAAAGATTTCTCTCTTGTCCAGAGGCAACTATCAAAAGATGGCCACAATAGAGATCAAGACTTCTCTCAATTCAAAAACTTGAGATTTCTTCTAAGCCAAAGATATTGTGAGAGATTAGTCATGAAGGTATTCAAGCAAAGGCTGGAAAACAGCTTGCCAAGGACTCTGTGGAAAACATCCAAGCAGGGGTAATCAATTAGAATTTTAAGTTTCCATACAACTCTGTAACCACATCAATGAACATTACTGAATACCTGCTCCAGGAAGGGCACTGTCCTAGACCTATAATAAGTACAAGACAAGAGAGAGAAACATATAAAGATCTCTGCTGCCAAGAAATGCACACATAATATATAAAATGTATATTACAGTTTGAGACCATAACAGACATCACAAAGCATTATTTGTTCATTGCCAAATTAATTTTATTCACATACAAAGGTCTTCTAAGAAGGAGAAACCCTAAGGTTAAAATGTTCAGATAAAGCTTTTTAGAATAAATATCTGAGGTACTTGTTGGGGGGAAAATGTGTTTGAAAGTTCTGAACAGGTAGAGAGAAGTAGGAAAGAGAGAATAGCAGAGGGAGAAATGAAAAGCATATTAGAAACCTGTTTGGCTGCATTAAAAACTTGTTTCATGGGAGAAGAGCTAAGCTGAAAGGGCAGGCTGTGGCCAGAATCAAACTGTACTAGGCCTTGAATATCAAGCTAAGTAGTTTCAAATTTATCCTGCATACTGCAACAGTAACAACTACTCGACTCTGTTGTAGCCATAGACAATGGTAAATACTAGTACTTGGGGGGAGGGGAGGGAGGAGGGGAGGGAGTATCATGGCTACATTCCCAAAAAAAACAACCCTGAATTACTAATACTGAAATTTGAATTTCATGTATTTCCATATGTCACAGAGTATTCTTTTGATTGATTCAACAATTTGAAAATGTAAGAATCATTCTTAACGCAGGGGCCATACAAAAACAGACTGTGTGCTGGATTTGACCAGTGTCAAGCAGTTTGTCAAGCCCTGTACTACACTAAGCTGTCTTCTTCAGCAACCCTTAGGTACATTTGTCCTTGAGCTTCAGGGACCAGAATAATATATTACTCATTCAACATGCATGAACGCACACACTTAACCAAAATCTAAATCTAGTAGGGGTCGGAGGTTCTCTATAAAAACTAACAACAACAAGAATTCTCTAATTCGCCATTAGAACAAAAGAAAGACATTGTTAAATTTTGTTATTTTCACATAGTAACTGTATTTAAGAGAACTAAAAACTATTCTTATAGAGCTTCTTTGATACTTGGTGGGACCTGTAAAATAGAGTGTAATCAAGGGGTTGTCTGTTCTAGCCCTACTTCTGTCATTTACTCATTATGTGACCCTGAACAAGTCATTCTCAATCCTCTGGCCCTAATTTTCTCATCTGTAAAGTGAAGGAAGGGGTGTAAGTTACTGGACGATCATGTGCTCTCTCAGCTTTAGCACTGTATGATTCTACTCCTACTTAAAAAGGACCAGAGAGGAGATGATAAACACAGACAAAAGTGATAATTAAGGACACAGAATAGAAGAGAAAGGCATTGACTAAATGAGTGGGCAGACAGGACAAACAGGTAGAAAAAGAGACCAGAAAAGTACAGTTTACTAAAATCAAGGAATGTATTCTTTTTAAGTATCAAATGCAAGAAGGAAGGAAGGAAGGAAGGAAGGAAGGAAGGAAGGCAGGAAGGAAGGAAGGAAGGAAAAATTCAAGGAATATGGCCATCAAAAAAAGAAAGAACTAGTTAGCTAGCTAAAAAAAAGGCAAGGAGTTCAAGTGACAGTCTTAAGATCTGAGAGTACTGTGCATGCTTCCAGAAATCATGAGATGAGCCAGGATAAAAGAAAAGACTGAAGATGAGTGCAGGGAACAGAAAATAAAGGCATATGGTCCAGAAAAAGTAGAAAAAAAGTTGGGGTAAACTTCAAGCCTTAGTAAGAGAGTTAGTCTTAAAGGAGAGGCATTTTTAATCTTCAAAATCCAAAAGGGGGGGGGAAATGCATTACAGTATCAGTTTTCATGTTTTCTATACATCACGTTATTAGGGAAATAAATCTAGTGTTGGCTTTTCTTAAAGCAGAGTTCCACTTATATTATATTTGCTAATGGTCACAAAATTAGGAAAAAAAATATTTCTGTCCTAGATACATAATTTCAATGATCACCAGGGCCTTCTTCAAGTGGCAACAAATTGCTACAAAGCAACTAAAAAAGGCAACAACAAAACACACACACATACAATTTAATGGTTACTCATAAATACCAAGACCCTATTGCGGAGCAACTTAATTTCAACAGACACCTGCCTCTACGTAAGTATATGAGCAAGAAACACCCACAACCGTAGGCTGACGTGTAACCAGTTAAAAAACACACGTTGGTATATGCAGAAAACATGAATAAAGCCAACAAGAGATACTATTCATATGTTGAAACTCCCTGGCCAGTGCATTACATTTTCTAGGATTCAAGAGCAGCCAAGAACTCGAGGCTTCTCACATCACCCGCTTTTAAGAATTTAAGAAGTCACCCCAACGGGCACACCCAGCCCAACTGAACCAACAGGGGCTCCGCTCTCCATAGCACAGGGTGGTGGAAGCGACCTCTACACCTTCCCGCGAGGTCCCGTCTCCGACTTCCCCACGCGCCTCCCGGGCCCCGCGTAGACCGCCAACCGCACCGCCGAGCAACAGCAGCTCCTGCAAGTCTCCGGCTCACGCTGCCCTCCCACCCGCCTCGGGTCGGGTGTCGCTTTCACAAGCCCGGAAAGTGACCCACCGCCACTGTCAAAACCAGGAGCACCGCCACCCCGGCGGGCCCGTCAACAACTCCTCCAGAATTTTTTTTTTTTTCTTTGAAATTACCGGCCTTGGCTCGACAGGTTCCGTAAGTACTTCAAAGGCCACCCTCTCCCCCAAAGCGGGACCGGACTCCTCCCGGTTCGCTGCTTTATGTGTCCAGCCCCACACCCCGGAGGGTGGGGGGGG